AAAAATAAATTAACATTTCTAGACCAATATGGTTGTCCATTTCTGTACAATGCCAAGTCAACACAGTAAATTGGGGTGACTTTTTCCAAAGTTGGCAGCACCGTTAAAGTTTCCCAAAATTCAATTTATATATGTGTGTGTGTGTGTGTGTGTGTGTATAAAGACTAATAATAGTATGTTATGCATCAATAGCAGCAACAGCTTTTCCAGGTTCTGCAGTCATCTGAACAAAATTATAGACATTCAGCACATTCCATTAAAAAAAAAAACCAAAGAAAAGAATAATATCCAGAGAACAGTAAAGTTCTATTGCTGCTGTGGTACCTGGCACCATTTTTTTCTATTGGCCTCTTAATCATCATCTGGAAAGAGAACATTCTAGAGTAATATCATTAAATGTAGCTCTGATAAAGCACAGTCCCTACTATGTATCATAAAGCAGGTACTAGAAATTTTACATTCATAGAGGTATGATACAGTACTGTCCTACATCAATAATACTAGATTCAGTTTTGGTTTGAAATTTACTTTGTCTGCAAATAAGATTGCTACCCCTGTTTTTTTTCTGGGCTCCTGTCTCATGAAGAATTGTTTTCTATCTTTTCACTTTCAGTCTATGGGCTTCTTTTTGCACTAGGTGTGTTTCTCGTATACAACATATTGTTGGATTTTGCTTCTTATTCCATTTTGCCAGTCTATATCTCTTGATTGGTGAGTTGAGGCCATTGACATTGCTGGTTATAACTGATATGTACTGACTTATTATTGACATGTTATTGGCCTTTTGTTGACTCTTTTTACTTTTTCCCTTTCTCCTTTTAGACAAGATTGTTATTCTCCATTAAGTGGGCTTGGCACTCCTGTGCCATGAGAGTGGAGTTCCATGGGCTTTCAGTTATATTCTATTGTTCTATAAATTTATGTGTATCCCAGCTCCCATTGTCATGATTACTTCACCTTTCTAGTAAGTTTAGGTATTGGGAATGCTGAATCTTTCCATTTTATTACAATCTTCAGGTGAAAAGCTTTTCTCCCTCTCCCTCCCTCCTGCCATCCTCCACACAGACACACACTCCAATCCTTCTATTTCTCTGAAGAACAATGAATAATACAGAAGTTAGAGGGGCTGAGGCACTTGGCAAACAACAGTGGGCAGAGCCTCCCCCAGGACTCCAGCTGGGTAAGTGGGACTGGTGCTGCAAATCTGAGATGCTGTAGCTTTTCCCCATCCAAGGGTGGTGACCACTGTGCTCACCAGGGCAGCCATGGGGCCACTCACTTGAGAAGACTGAGTGCTGGCTTCCTCTACCAAATACTATGCAGAGGCAAAGATAGCTCTCAATATTCTGTCTAAAAACCTCAGGGTCTCCGCACGATGGTGCGATGAGTGACTGAGGAGAACCCAGGACCTAGCCAGGAAAATGAGAGGCTTTAAATTGTGCCAGGACAGCTGAAAAACCCTCAGAAGATTTTGTTGACTGGTGTTGGACAGGGCACAGCCCTCTCTCTGGAGCTGAGAGGCTACAACTGAGGTCTTGTTCTTGAACCATCGCTAGCTTCCACTCCCACCCAGATCTGTGTTGTTTCCCACAGGCATGGAAGGTGTCTAAGTTTCGAGGAACTAGCATTTCTTCCCTCAAAAGTCTAAGCTGAAGTGCTTATTATTACACTTGGTACAAAAGAAAGGAAGAGACCTGTAATTCTGTACGAGAACTGTAAAACACTTTCTCCACAATAGAGCCTTGGCCCTGGAACATCTCTCCTCTCCTTAGGATAGAAAATAAAGGGTCTTTCTTTTTCTGCCCCTCGGGGATGTTTTCAAGTATGATATACACCTTTTCTCCCACACCTGGGACACTGTAGAATTCACCAGTATGTAGGAATAGAGTCAAGAGATGGAGATTGGGCAGGTGATGGGGTGCAGAAAAGAGAAAAACAGTGCAAAGAAATGTTATGGAGGGAAATGAAATAATAACCAAATTCTGAACTTAGCCATAAATAATGATTGGTCCTTTCTGAAAGTCATTTAAAAGAATATGGACATTAATGAAAAGAAAAAGTCCATAAACTATAATTTAACCGAAAACACAAAAGAAGTGTCAACTCAAGACTCCAAAATAAACATAAAAGTGTTAAAAGAAACTTGAAAATCAGCAAAACAAATATTTAGGAAGCACCTTAGCAATGGCAGAAGGCTTCAGAATGCACCCAAGAGGACATTGCCTAAGGTCATCTTCAGGGGTAGCTTCAG